ATTCTACATAAAAAGGTTATTGCTTTAGAGAGATGAAAATACGGTTTTTGAGTAAAAACAACGAACAAATGTAATATTTAAGTTAACAAACGTACGATGTTTATCAACACAAAAACCCACTATGTGTTTTCTCTTGTTCTTGAGAAAGAGAATGTTTTCCATGTTAATTATCACACATGGCTAAAAGTATCAACCAAAATGCCACATGGCTTGATAATGCACACTTTACTTTTCGGCCCTTAGTATTATTATTCATTGCTTAACTTTTGTAACATTACTGTTGTGTAGGATCTATGATCTTATGCAATTATTGTGTTGCTAATCGGTTGTTGAACTATAAATCAAATTATTTACTTTGCCAAATAAACTAACTTCATTGTGGCCCATATGTTTTCTTTAATTTGGAAGATTATTGTTTTAATGCAGGTAATTTTTTTAGGTTAATACTGCTGCAAAATATTGTAAGATTAAAAAACAGAAATCTTGTCAGATTACAACTAAATTTTGCAATATGGTAAGATTAAGAGACATAAATCTGACAAGATTTCAATTAGATCTGCCATTAATTTGAAGTTTAAAAAGGACAAAATAAGCAGAAAAAAATATTTTAACTTGGGGCATTCCGAGAATCGAACTCGGGACCTCTCGCTCCCAAAGCGAGAATCATACCACTAGACCAAATGCCCATGTGGCTTCATTTATCTGTCTCTTTGTTCTTATTTCTTATCTTTTTGGTTGAGTAAATTATGAGCTTAAGGACTTTACATTGTCTGAAGTGTGTTTGAGGTGCTTCTACATATGGTTTTAGATTTCTATGTTTCATACTCTTGTGTAAAATCAATGCAGTTTTATACCTTAATACATCATGCACATTTGATTCATCTTTGTGCACTTTCTTTCATTCATTTCGTATTTTATATATTGCTTTAGCTTGCAGAAGAGTTCAACTTATTCCCAATGGTGTAGTAAGCATTTAAACATAATTACTAAGCTTACTATGTTAATTAGTAATAAACACAAACTAGCTATTTAACATAAAGTATTATTGAAAGGAAATGATATATTACTGCTAGTTGAAAATGCATGAGATGCTAAACAAATGTTTGAAGTGAGATGAGATTAGCCTTGTATGTGCCTTTAAAAACTGGCTTTTAACATTTTTTTCTTTGTATTGGATTATTCAAAATGCAGTTGCAGTTTTATCCTTTTTGTGACCTTTAAGACTGTTTTCTTTATATGTCCTTCGAAGGGGCATTTTGGACAACTAATCACTAGCCAAACAACTTTCAATTTTTCCTTAGGCAGTGGAGTGGATTAGAAAACTGCAATTTTAATTTGTGCATGCAGGTATTTTTGTAGGATTGCTTGGCTTGCATATTTTTATGATTTATACATCATAATAATAAATTACACTGGTTTCATCATATGAAGTTACACATGGTTTTCATGATGTATGTTGCATCTTTTTATGATTTCTGCATAATTATCAGGCAGAAGTAATTGCTGATGAGTCCAATGTACTGATATAGAATCCTTTCAGATCTGCAGGCACATGTTTGTTTGTGGGGCAGTTATATAAAATAATATCCAGTTTAGTTGGTAGATTTGTTTCCAAAAGTCTTGAGTTGACTTTAGTTTATATTAATAGTAGACTATATAACAAACTAAGTATTGTAGTGGCATTTCAAAAATAAATTAATATAAAATGAGTTGATTTTGTAAAATAAAAAAGGAAGGAATGGGGGCATTCCGAGAATCGAACTCGGGACCTCTCGCACCCAAAGCGAGAATCATACCACTAGACCAAATGCCCACTCCCTTCATTTATCTATCTAATCTGTTTGTTTGTTTTATTATCACAATATATAATTGAAATGGTAAAGTTTCCATTTTTGGTTGCTGCAAAAATGCAATGTTTCCTTCTTTGGGTAAGTTTGAATACACACTTTGTACTTATTCACCTTCTATCGGGGATGTAGGTTAGTTTGAAGCTTAATTGAGTATCAACCTGATTTTTGAATTGATATTTATGTTTTGGAGTTGGCTGGAAATGCTGCAAGAAGTCTAAGGATCATACCAGTCCAACACATGTTTTGTTAACAGGCTGTGAGAATTGAAATGATGAAGAGCTTGGAAAGCTTCTTGCCCATGGTGGTGTTCTTCCACACATATCTTCTATAAGAAACTCAATTAAACGTGAAATTTTTGTTGCAGCTTGTATACGATGTTTGTAGGTTTAAATGCTTGGCTTTGAGTATATATTTTTTATACAGTTATATTGCATTTGAAGAGCCAGAAGTTGTATCTATTATTTGTGTAACATATCTATAACAATCTTGTGTTTTCTAATTTTAGTTAAATGGTGAGTGTTTGTTGTCGGAAAATCTTCTCTATTCTAATTTTTATGTTGTTTTAGTGATTTCCATTTTCCATGGGGGTTGGTTTTATCATATATATGTTAAAAATCGTCATGACTTATCCTCTTTAATAAATGAAGATTTTTTTGCCACATGTCATATTCTCCTTCATTTTGACACTTGTCATTTTGTGAGAATTGTAGAAATTTTATTTTCCACTTGTCATTTTTTAGGGATTTCCATTTTCTTAAAATAAAATTCATAAAATTGTAATGGGTTCTATAAGGAAATAAAATCATCTATTAATTTGGCAATAAATTCTCATAAATACTTTAAACGATTTAATTTCTTTTGCAAATTTTCAAAAGATTACATTCTGTTATGTAAAGTATTACATTATAAAATATTTTATATTTATATATTGATATTAAATTTTTATTTTTAATAAACCCGTGTAATACACGGGTCTCACATCTAGTATTGCTAATATTATGGCTTGACTTATTTTGTTTTCTATTCTTTGCACTTGTTGAAAATTGAAATGAAGAGAGAAATAGAGATGTAAAAAGCTTCAAGTGGTTGGCTTTGAGTGTAACAAAGTTATTATGTTTTCACTTGATTGATGATAGTTTGATAACGAAGACAAATTTGGATATTAAATAAAAGGGGTGCTTGATGAACTTTTGATGATATGCATATTTGAAGTTGTGAACATTATGATGTAAACTATTGTTATTAATTGATGATGGTCTTTTTTTTTTTCTTTGAACCCCTTTTTATTTTTATTATTAATTGGATTATGTAGGACTCATGTTCAAAATGCAATTTCTTTTATCGAAATCCAAATAATTGATATAAAGCTACTCTCTAAATTTGGAGACTAGCAACATGCAAATGACATCGGCTCGGGATTTGAAAATTAAAGATATGGAAAAGTACATGGATCATGCTTGTCTACATGTCACAAATGTTTTGAATTGGAGAAAATAAACTCAAAATTATTAAGGGTGTGTTTGGTTGTGGAAATTTTCCAGTTTTTTAGGAAAATTTTCCAAGAAAAACGAAAATTTTGAAAACGCGTTTGATTCGTTCAATTTTCCAAAGTTTTCTAAGAAAATGAAAATTTTCAGTTTTACAAATTGTATGTAAACTAGAAAAGTGATTTTTACAGTTTTCCAAAGTTTTCCAAATTTCTAAGATGAAAAATGAAAACTCCACCGGTTCCAACCAAACGCATTTTCATTGAAAACTAAAAATGAAAACTCAACTCTATTTTCTGAAAACATTTCCTTAGAAAATGAAAACAGTTTTCCACAACCAAACGCACTCTTAGCCGTTGTCGGGAAAAATTGGTCCAAGAAAAACGAGAAATATTGGTGAACACGGTGTAGTTCGTCAAGTTTGGGTCGAAAGGGGCACGGAAAAGGAAAGGGCCGGGGGCGAAAATGACAAAGAAGGGGAAAGGGGGGAAAACCAATATGGATTGGGGCCACATTGGGGGAAGGCCAAAATTTGGCGAAAGAGTAACACACGCGCAGCCCACCGCTACACCGCCAACCCACCACACCCTCTCCTACCCACGCCCAAGCCCACCTCGACAAACACACAAACTACCCCCCCCCCCCACCCCCCCCCCCCCCCCCCTCCCCCCCCCCCCCCCCCCCCCCCCCCCCCCCCCCACAAACATACACACACACACACACATAAACAGAGACCACCCCAATCCCCTCACACCCCCACAAACACACACACACACACACCCACCCACAACACCACACACCCACCCCAACCCCACTCACACTACACCCCACACCATACACACCCAGCACACCATCCCCCATCCCTATAAACACACACACACACACACACACACACACACCCAACACCATTACCACAATCACCGACCTACCATCACCAGCATCACCACCGCCGCCGCAATCACCACCACCGCCGCCGCCACCACCACTACCTTTCATCACCACCGCCGCCATAACCACCACCACCGCCGCCATAACCACCACCACCGTCGCCATCATCGACACCACCACTGCCCCCATCCCCATCCTACCACCGCTACCGTTTTCTAAACGATAGAAATATACACATCTAAACGCATTTTCTAATTTTCTAAAACTAAAAATGAAAAATGAATAAGTTTTAACTAAACGCGTTTTCTAAATTTTGCAATGAAAACTGAAAACAAAAAACGAAAACTGAAAAGGGAAAACGAAAAACGGAAGATGAAAACTGTTTTTCCATAACTAAACGCAACCTAAGTTTTTGCTCATGTATTGACAATTTCCATTTGATGAAATTTGTATTTTAATGGAATAAAGTTGCACCTTGTGGTAACATATAAATTGTACTATTGCCCATATTGGCAACAGTTTTTTTATAAACAAATATGATTTCATGATATCTTGAGGGAAGTAATGATATTCATGTGACATTGCTTTGTATTTAGACTGATGAAGATGAGTAATACGGGCTCAAGAGAGAATGTAACAAATGAAAAAGATATTATGAATCAAAACCATCTTGAGATCATTGTTGTGCATTATATCTCAAGAAACTTTCATAAAACTAAACAAACATACAATCCTATCCTCATCAAAAGAAAGCAAATCATCAGCATCTTCAATGTCAATATCTATGCAACAATAACTCATCATTTGATCGTTGTTTAGTCAAATCACAATTCATCACCATCTTCCCAGCTTCCATTTGATGTGTAGCCAATATATAACTCACAGCTGAACAATCCACTCCAAATTTCCCATCTTTTTTCTCCTTTTCCATTTCTTTCACCTTTGACTTTGACTTTGACTCATTAACAAGCCCTAAAATGGCTTGTTGCCTCAAACTCCCCCAAGAAACAGCTGCTTTTCGTTTCATCTTATGTCCCCACACAACACTCTCCTTGTCCCACTTCTTTACCTCATTAAGCAATAAACTTTCATTTTCTTTCACATCATCTTTCATTCTTGGAACAAAAAATTCCGGTTTCGCCCCTGCTAATGCCATTCTTGGGATACCCAAGGAATAAGGTAAAGGGGCATTATGTCTTTTCCCATTTGAAGATGAAAAAGCAGATAAGAAAACGTCCTTCACATCTGTCATGTGGGTTCCTGTTTGACTTTGACTTTGACTACACAAGGTAGGAAGGCCAATCACTACATGATCTGTTTTAGGTCTTAAAGGTTCCACCTTTCTATCTTCTACAATCCCTGGTATTGAAGAGAATGAAAACTGACCTTTCATGGTTATGGAAGGTAAGATCTTGGGAGGTGGGGTGAAGTTTATCTTTGCTAGTGTGTTGACTTTTCTCGGGCAGTCAATGGCTGCCCCTTCGACCCATCGGACTACTGCGATCCGTGAAGTGCGATTTGGGTCGTATTCGATTCTTTCAACAACACCTACTGATGAAGTGTTGCGTTTTAGATCAATTGTTCTTTGTGACCGTTTTGCCCCTCCCCCTCTGTGGAAAATTGTGATTCGACCCTTTGAGTTTCTACCAGCTGACTTGTCTTTGCCTGAAACGAATTGCCTAAGTGGCCTTTCAGAGCTCACACTTTGAGCACCTGTAGGAATATAATATCTTATTAGCATCAACACTGGTTTTGGTTGTGTTTGGATAAACAAATTTTAGATAACAAAACAATCAACACAAAGAGAAGGCACTATTGATTGAAGCTAATACAGATTCGATCTTCCAAACCTAGTTGTTTCACTATCGACTTTATTGTGTAATCAACACAACAAAATGAATGTGGGTGGCAACTTTTTTCTCCAAAAGCATCAAATAAAAAACTACACAATTTGGTATATAGACCTGGTTGATCATCTTCAGCAAAGCAAAAGGGGCAGACATTCCATCTGATACACTGAGTTTCAATGTCAACTCAAAGCCTCGAACTGCAATCTCAGTTACAAAACTCCGTCATAATACCAAGTTAGATTTTTATTGAACGATCGAAAACAATACAATTGGGTGTTGTGTACGCAATTCGATAGAAATTTACATTCCGACATGGATTTCAACCTTCAATAAGCTTTAATTTTCGAAATTCATCTGCGTTCAATATGAAAATTTTAAATCAAAATTTGAATATAAACTTACGGCTGATAGAGTGCTTGGATCTCGTCTGAGAGCTGCTGATCATCGAAGAAAACAAAGAACGGGATCCATTAACAGCTCGTCGACAATATGAGGAGAATGCCATTTTCGATTACACCAGTGGCAAGTCAAGGTGTTCGTTCCCTAGGTTTATTTGTTCGCCTTCTTTTAAAATGATGACAAAACTTCATTAATGGTGTATCCAAAATCTAAAGTTTAGTCCTAAACTCAAAATACCTCATAGATGGTCCTTGTGGTTTCAAAATTTTTAACAAACAATCCCTTAGCCACATAAAAAGATTAATATGTCATTTCTATTTCTTTTTAGTATTAATTTTACCTAATCCTATTTAAAAAAAATAGAAAGACAAAATAAATAATTCATTGGGCCCACCTGCTCTCTCTCTCTCTCTCTCTCTATATATATATATATATATATATATATATATATATATATATATATATATATATATAAACATAAAAAATGCACATCGTCTTCTTCATCCGTTTGGGGATTTGGAGGAACGAATGAATCGGAAGCGATGAGAAGTTCCAATGGTGGTCATTCAAATCGCGAGGAGGGACAGAGTGGTCGATCTCCGGTGACCCTCTGAGGCTTTAACTTGCATCATCTCCGATTGAGAGCTAAGGGAACAGGTCTCCGTCTTCGTCTGTTCGGAGAAGCTGAAATCACTAATGGAAGGCTGCGATCAAGAAGCTTCGATGGTGGAGTGTGGTTCTGTAGTAGTTAAGCAGTCACGGGGGGGGGGGGGGGGGGAGGCGGAGGTGGCTAGGAAGAGGGAAGAGCAGCCGGTTTTTTCGATGAGCTCCTTCTCAGCTGATAGCTCACTCGTCGGAGCTGTGGCTTCAAATCACCAACAATAGGCGGAGAGATGAGGTGCTGGAGGTGACGGAGAACCAAGTGAGGATGGTTGGGGATTTGTAACAGCTCGCTAGTTTATCAGTTCTTCTTCCTCTCACTTCATCGAAGCCAAAATCGAGGACCACTGGAAACGAAGGGATGTTTTGAGTTGTTGATCGATAGGGAAGAATGAGGGAGGAAGGAGAGAAACTGAAACAGGGGCGACAGCCTTGGTTCGCCGGATTCTTTCCTCACGAACACCCCCACCTGCTGTTGTTTTCCATTCTTGCTTCTCCCTTCTCGATCAGACGAGGATCGAAGAACCTCCCTCGATTTCTGCCTTCGCTCGATTTCTGCTGGTGTTATTGTTGTTAGGATTGATTGTCGGAGCAAGAAAGGGAAAAGAGGGTTGTTGGTTGAAAAACGGTGGCCAATGGTGGTGAAGGGAACGGGGGGGTTGTTGGTTGACAAACGGTGGCCAACGGTGGTGATTCACATTGGATACCGGTGGTTCTATGGCGGAGTAGTGGTGGAGCAGTGGTAGTGTTTCAAAATCAAGAGGCTTAGGCTATGAACTGATGTAAATGAAGTGCCCGTTTTTTTATCAGTCAAAGGGTGTTGGGGATTGAGTAGAAGAAGATAACAAAGACTTTCACGAGAGAGAGAGAGAGAGAGAGAGAGAGAGTGTGTGGGAGAGAGAGAGAGATGTGTGGGAGGTGGGCCCAATGAATCATTTGTTTTGGTTTTTTATTTTTTTAAATAGGATTATGTAAAATTAATTCTAAAAAGAAATAGAAATGACATATTAGTCTTTTTATGTGGCTAAGGGACTGTTTATTAAAAGTTTTGAAACCATAGGAACCATCTATAAGGTTTTTTGAGTTTAGGGACTAAAATTCAGATTCTGGGATACGACAGAGACTTTGTCTAAAATGATAAAGATTCTACGAGAAGAGAAAAAGTTTTTCCGATCATCCGCTAACGCCACGGGACTTGAATTTGGGCTAGGACGGTATAGCTAATAGCCATGGGCTTATTTGGGCTTCATCCTAATAAGACAATATCATTTTTTTTTAAAATTTTATTTCACTATAATTTTCTTATTAATACAATTATATAAATTTCTAAAACGTAATAGTTATAAAATCAATATTCCTTAACTACTTATAACATATATTCAAATATTAATACTAAATACTAAAATACTAATATAACATATTTTAGTTGTTACAAAAAATATGTTATATATCAATTGTTAGTACGATATAAACACTACTTGGATTTGACTCGGTCAAATTCATACACTTTGAAACCACTATTATAATTTACTGATTTGGTCTTATAGCATCCGATGTGTCTCTTACCGAGTCACGTAAAACGTTGTGACTAACTCCATTTGACATTGACTTAATCATATTTGAGTCAATCATTAATTATCAAACATCCTCAAAATATTATATATATATATATATATATATATATATATATATATATATATATATATAATATATATATATAGTTATAACTTACAAAAGTTTAGTGGCTGTTATCTGTTTTATTCAACCCGCCTTTATATTGTGAGTGACATCATCCTTAACGACCCCATCTTTATGGATCATAGATCCCAAGTACTTGAAGCCATCCTTCATTCGTTTGGACTTGCTCATTGATACATACTTCTATCACTTCATCATTTTGCAACCCATTAAAATTTCACCATAAATTATCAGACTTGGTTGTGTTGATCATAAGCCCCTTTTCTTCAAATGACGTCTTTCAGGTATCCAAACTAACATTAAGCTCACTTGTACTTTCCACATCCAAAACAATGTTGTTTGTAAAAAACATACACCATGACACCTCTCCTAGTACATCGTAAGATACATCGCCCATAATTAGGAAAATATATATAAATGCTAAATGTCGAACCATGATATAGCCTAATTCCAACAACAAAAGGCTATGTATCTCCGATACAATTCGGACGCATGTCGTAGATCGACAACACATTTCGCGTATGGATCTAACATAACACCATGAGACCCTTCTAGCTTCAAAAGTCCCCCGATTTGTTTCCATCTGAACACTATCGTGTGCCTTTTCCAGGTCAATGAACACCATGTGGAAATCCTTATTTCTTACTCTAAACTTCTTTATAAGGTGTCTAAGTAGGTAGATTTTCCTTAGTCGTGGACCTCACAGGCATGAAGCCGAATTGGTTTTCAGCTACTAATGTATCTTATATTATCTGAATCTCTAACACTGTATGATGTATACCAAATCTTAATTATATAGCTAATAAGTTTGATGCCTCTATAGTTGCCCAAACTTAGGGTGTTTCATTTGTTTTTATATACTGGTATCATAATACTAGATCTCCACTACTCATACTTCTTGTCTGCCTATAAGATTTTGTTAGAGGTTTGTCAACCAATTCACTTCATGCTCTCCAAGGCATAACCATACATTGATAGGGATATAGAAAATACGAGTTACCTACACTTATAGTGAATTATGACAATTTGTATAGTGAATCACATTTAGTAACAATTCTTCATGATAGTTAATATTTCAACTGATTTCAATATTATTCTAGCCATGTTTAATATAAAGGAATAAAAAGTGTAACTCAACGAATTATATATATATATATATATATATATATATATATATATATATATATATATATATATATATATATATAATAAATATGAAGACATGTGTTACATAGATAGACCAAGGGAACAAGCCAAAATGAGTACAAAACTTGTAATCTTTATAAGGGGTTGTTTGGTAGAATCTGAATTCTTAAAATGTATGAATTTCTAAGAGGGTCTGAATTTTTAATATCTGAAGTTTCAACATATTGTTTGGTAGGAAACTCTGAATTATTGTGCTGAATTATAAAAATGACTATTTTACCCTTTTGTGTTATCTTTTGCTGGATTCAATGTTTCTGTTTTATAAGCCAACTTTTAATAAAATAATAATAATAATGTCATAGTTTATTAATAAACTCATGGAACCTTTTTTTTCGGATTTTCCACATATATTTTTATATACTCAAATATATACATAAAATACATTTTAAGATGGATTTTTCAGGTGTCCTTTAATTTTGTTAAAGTAAATTACCATTTTTTATTGGTTTATTTTGCTTTCTTTATAACAGATAGCTTTATTAAATAACAAATACCAACCAAAGGTTCTAATCACAAAGCAAAAAACAATCACATAGATTTCTCCTAAACTGCGATTCATTTCTAAAGCTACAACAACTTACATTTATAAATCAAACAAAATAACAAGTAAAGGCTGCAAACAACACTCATGACTTTCATCACCCAACTTTGTAATGTTTATCCTCAACCTCAAGGTTCAATAACAAGTAAAGGATGCAAACAACACGCATCAAACACGATTAGAAGATGAGGGGAAAACATTACATTATCACAAAACGTTAACATAATTCACACACATCAACATGTTTAGAACTGATTCCAAAAAAAAAAAATCAACCCCAAACATCATATTCCAACAAACATTTAACCAAAATCAAACCATATTCCAACAACTTTTAGAACAATCAGAAGCACATCAACATGTTTAGAACCCATTCTAGCACTAAAATCAACCTCAAATACCATATTCCAGCAACATTTAGTATCAGGAAGCAAAGCATCAGATTTTAGGGAAGCAAAACATCAGATTTCAAGGAAAACATATGAATTCAGCAAGCAAAACTACACAACAATAATCTTGATTTCCTAAACAAGGCTATTCCAGAAAAAAAAACAACCACGTATCTAATTTCAATGGCGGAGGGAGCACAACAATACAACAGTTGTAGATCGGGTTCGAGAGGTAAGAGAAAGGGGGTGATGGTACGGATTAGAAAGGAAAAAAGAAGCAGAGGGCAAGGCATGTCTTTTGTTTAATTCAGATGTAATATTACATTTGAAATTTTAGGGAAATTGAGTAATCTAATCACAATTTGAGTTCTAGTTAACAAAACTAACCAAGTTTTTTTTTTAACTAACCACTTGGTCTGGAATGGCCCATTCCGGACCAGAAAAATGGCCCAAGCCCAATACTGTAGCCCATTGTTATATATATATAGGTCCCACACACAAAAATTCAGAATACACGTTCTGGATTTTGCAATTCTGAAGTTTGTTCTACCCAAATTTCTGACCTAGTTTTCAACATGGGTTCGTCAAACCAAGTGAGTTTTACTCTTTAAGTTAACAAGTATATGTATTTCAGAATGCGTAGAACACTCTGAAATATGATAAACAAGT